ACAATCCTGTGGCCACCTTAATACCCTTCGATCCCCAGGGGATTAAGTTCATAATACTTCAGAAACAGTCATCTGCAATGGATCTCCACATAAATAAACTGATTTCTTGTCAAAATTATGTAATAGTCCTTTTTATTTAAATAAGGATGAAAAAGTCCATCGGTGGCATAAGAAGACATGGTCAGTTGCACAGCCATGAATAGACCAATGTGTGGTCGACCCCTCCTTGTATGTTCACAATAGACGCAGACGAACGATCTAAAAATCCATTCAATGGGTTCGTGGAAGGCATTTTTATTTCAAATTGGCCACATAAAGATGGTGTGTCCAATGAAACATTGGAGTTTAAAATCCAACTCGTCTCAGATGGACACTCGGTGAAAAAAGTTTCCTCTATTCATAATTAATTATCTTTGATACTCATTTTATATAATAAATTAAAAAAAAGCAATTTGTGCAGAAGAAAGCCTTTCTGGCAATGAATATTATTTATCTGCCCTTTCAAAGCAAACTCCACGAAAAGCCTGTGTAAAATGTGTCGTATTTTCCCCCAACATGTCAAATGCATCAAACAACCCCATTGTATCCTTTGTGGGCCTGAAGGAAACGAATAATTATTCCATTCGAAACTCGATAATGAACGAAAACGAACCCCTTTCTTTGCCAATATGAGTGAAAAGAGGATGCAGGCGCACAATCCTTTCACAACATTTTCGATTCCCACCTGAGATTGAGGTTCGACAAGGATAATAATAATAATACTTTCTGAAATTTTTCTTAGCCTGTAAGCAAAACGCCCAATATCGAATTTCTACCTGAGAGTTCGACTGTGGGTCATACCTACTGGGTATATAAATGAAATCATTGGGGTATGTGAGTTGTTTGCAAGCTCAATTTGGAAAATTGGGCAAAATAAGCGGAGAATCATTATCGTTGACTCTTTCGTCCGATTAGCAATACCCCTGATAATAACAGGCCAACACCTTTGGTTGGACTTTTGGTCACTCTAAGCTCTTGAGTTTTGCAAGATTGTTGCTCGGCTTTATATCAAACCTATTTGCTAATTCATCCAATGACGAAAACTGAAAGTTGTACAGTTGCTGGAAATTAAAATAAACCAAATTGTATTTTGGTAAATGTCCTGAAACAATATGACCCTTATGTTGCGACACATCAGGCAATTTCGCTTGATAAAAACAATAATTCGAACATTAGCCCTGCAAAATATCGACGGGAATTAAATAAATACAGTCGGAAATATATTCGATCAAAAATGGTCCCTATTGAAGCTCCAACAATACATCAACTCTATAAAGTTTAGAATTTATTTTAAATTCAATTGTTGTTTTTTACAATTCAAATGGCATGAAATATTCACAAAACTAGTGGGTTAATTTTGAACTTAGCAGTGACGGACTTGCGCTTACTGGCAACGAATATCCGCCTAATGTAATCCGTTTCATGCATTATTATACAGGGTGATTCAAAATTGGCGTCATTCCTCTGGAGGTGTTGTCTGGCGCTGTTATAGGAGTACAGAAAAAATAGTAAAAGAAATTAATTGTTATTAAAAACTGAGAAATTTGCAAGAAACTATATCAGAGATACAGCAGCAATGTTTTTCAAGGTAATCTGCCTAATTAACATTGCGCAAATACCTGTTGCTCCGTAATTATTTAAAACTCCGGTAACCATGGAATTATACAGAGTGACAATAAGATAGACAAGGATAAACGGTCAACTCAACAGGAATCGTTGAATGACGGAACGAACTTTCGAAATGTCAACCTGTTCTCATAACTTCTCTAAATTGGAGTTTATAAATAAACCGTACAACACCAAACATTTGAATGGTTAACTCCAAACAAGCTAGTGCCTATGTAATCTTCTTGTTATCCACTCTTATCAAGCAACTTCTCGTATTCAGTTAATTAACTCCTGCTCCATTTGTATCTCCCTGTGCTGTATGTATCGTACAAACGTGGTAGGAATGTAGCCGGTATTTATTTGGTGCCTGGGAAAGTGTCAGTGGCTGTGCTCTGAGTGCCCCTGGAAGGCCCTGATTCGATTTTGTCCAATACTTGTTCCTCTGTGTCTGGAACTATCTTCCTGGAACCACTCTCCTCGCCCTTTGTTGGCGTGAGTTCTTTCATCTTCTGCTATGTTACTGTAGCATTTCCCCTGAACTAATCGCATATCCGCAAATTCGTGAACGGGAATTCAAAGTAAGTCACAGTTTGACAAATTATTGGTATTATTGACAAAGGCTATCCACCTGTAACTATCTTTTAATGACAAAAAACATCATTGCCGCTGTGCCTTTTCATCAAAAAATTGTAGCAGGGAACTTTTTTGATATCGAAAATTTTCGTAATTTGAAGCAAAGATCGTAACTTTTCTTTTTGAATGCTTAAGTATTCCAATATGCTGCCAATTAATGGATGGAACAATTTCAAAATAATGCTTAATAACAAAGTTGAAATTCGATCTTCAACTGTTTATATCTTCTAGAAAATTTCGAAGAAAAAAATTTCAAAATTTTTCTTGTACTCTCTCAGGGAGCCCCTATCACACCTTAAAAGGAATGACGTCAATTTTGAATCACCCTGTATTTGCTCTTCTCGATTGTGTTCATTTCCCTGAACTACGCTAAATTTCACCCTTCACTTTCAACGGATGGTAGTTTTGCAGGAAAAATCTCGTCAATACTGATCAGGCTGTTGGGGCCCTGCTGCTATTGCAAAATGTAGTGTGAAAACTGTTGTGTGGAATTGCTGTGTGGAATTCATTTAATTTATATTTCGCTTATAAATATTGTACGCAAAAACGACACTAATTGATACATTTTATTATAAATAAATGTTCGCCAAGCTGAGCAGCAGCTGCATGAAGATTCGCTTTGTCATGTTTAATGCGTGTGAGGCAGATACTTTTGTCAGAAGTGGAAAATTGAAAATACTAGCGGTTGCACCTGATGCTTCATCAGGGCGGAAATGTGCGATTGGTACTCTTTTTCATTTTGATCCTGATTTAGATAGGTACTTGCTTTCCAGATATCATAAAGCAGTATCTATAGGTTTTGTTTAACTACAGATTTTTCCCAACCACGTTCTATTTTATAAAGAGGGCTGAAGAAAAAGCAACCAAACACTGTTAATGATAAACGACACATTGGTTTTATTGCGGATGAACGGAAGTGTTTGATGATCTCCAAGAAGTCTGCCAAAGGAAAAAGAGTCAAGTTTCAACCTCTTGGCACCTGGGCGTTCCTGTCTCGATAATTGTGATGTTGTGACGTGCATTGCTTTCGCATTTCCGGTATAAAGCGCTATTGTTGATCGCGCTCCCCCAACCCAAACTCATAAGAATGAGCTCGAGTTCGGCTGTTTAGTCCATCTTCAGGTAAGGGACGCTGTTCAAGCTTTGTGGTGGGGCGGGCGACGCATCTCTAGTGCCCCGAGCTTCAAAGTAGCAGCCTGCGAAGCGAACTGAGAGAAAATCGGTCCTTAGTTCAACGTACAACGGCAGTGTGTTCGCAGACTTGTTCGTGTGGGCACGTTCGCGCAAGTTCTCTGTACGTCCGTTCACTCCTCCGTCGTTCCGGGATAAATTTCAAGCCTTTCCAACGTGTTTATTAGTGATTCAACGGAACTTTATTCGGGATGTTCAACAGTTTCTTCGAGACTTCTCACTGGTTGTTACTTGGTGCTTGCGTTTTGGACGTTTAGCGCTCCTCGGGAGCGCACTAGTAGTGTCTTCGCCTGGGCAGCCATAGTGGATTAATTTTTCTAGTGTCGTCAGTGGTGCACTGCAAAAATCTCCAAGTTCTGCTCAAGCTCATCAGGTGACTAGCATTTTTAGGGATAAAGGTGCCAACTCTTACCGAGCCTCTGGCTTTGTTCTCATTCTACACCAGCTATTGAAGATTGTTTTTTAGATGAGCCTGAACATGAATTATTTAGACGAACTTAATTGTCAATTGGATCGCAATCCGGCAACTAGTTTTCGATTTTATCAGTCGAAATAATTAGCGCTTTGCATCTTTCAAGCTCGGATTGTACCACGACTTCAGCTAGATGTGTCACCGCCGTCTTATTTTGTCTCAGATCAACTCTTCGTCCCTCAGAAGCTATACACCCTTAAAGTTACCTACTTTTTCCATATTTTTTACAGCCTCCTAAACTCAATTTCCATCATAAGTGGATATGTTTTATTGCACTGAAATGCTAAAATCTGCTTTAAACCAAACTTAAAAAAAATCGCTTTTGATACGGAAGATCTAAGCCCTCTATGAATGAATCGAAAAGAACTAAAAAAATTAAGTATTGTTCTCATTGCCGACTCATAGTAGCCTTATGGCTAATGGTTTTGCTCTGTAGTAGGCGAAAAGTATGTCGAGCTTGATTTGGAAATCATAAATAGGCACTCTGGCCTGTTCTAAGTCCCCATAACATGCGAAAGCTTTTAACAGCTTGTACCTCGCGACACATCTTAAAATGATTAATGAAGATTTCACTTCAACGCATTGTCGCGCAAAGGATGTGTGTTTCTCGCTTTGTTAGAAAAAAGATTCAGTGTCCTACATTAGGGCGATGAGACCAATTTGTGTTCGCACTAAAACCGACAGCAAAAATGATTAATGGCGCCTTTGTGTGAAACGTGGCACCGAAACTATTTTTACCCAGCAGCCTGAAATTACTGGAATTTAGCTAAAAACAACAAGTTTCTGAAGTTGGGGAAATTGAGGAAGAGAAACAAACCACTTGATAACTCGTTATTAATTTTGCAGTCGAGATACCGTTGTTGGATGGATACAAAGTTTTAATTCTCTCTCCAGTCCCCTACTTCTCCCTAAACTTCTTGTCTATTAAGTACTCAGTTTTGGTATTGTTTTCACAAATGGAACTGCGATTAATATTTCTCGTCTTCATATTATTTGCGTCTGATGGGAGAACGATAACTTTCATTAAGGCCTTAGGATAGGTATTAGTAAAACTCACTTTGACGAAAGTTTTTTATTAACTTCAAATTACTTATTGCTTTTATTAATCCAGTCGTTTGAGAGCGATTCTTTTAAATTCATTTGACGGCCCTGTTGTAAAACTTCCAGCCAAATAAATTAAAAACCCACTCCTACAAAGCCGCTGTGTAAATTGAACGAAAACTTTAGCTTTGGCTCATCGTCCGTATTATCCTTTCCGGGATGCTAAGTGATGCTCGGTTCGGAACTTTGCTTAATTTCTGTTTATTTTTCGTTAAATAATCACGCTCAATTTAGATCGATCTTCGTTGAACCACGTGCGAGCTTACTCATTCCTTTGGACGCTTCATCTTCATTTTTCATTGGCCATCAAGATTTCTGGGGCCTGTTCAAACTGAATACCGATTTGTCATTCTTCACCGTTAGTTAACTAGAACGCATTAGCTCCCACAGAGATAACTATGCGACACTGATGATGGCCATCTCATAGACTACAAGGGATAGCCATTAATGCTGAGCAATAAAGAATCTACGAAACAAACAAGAACATATTTTAATATGCAAATTCGTTTGATTTCGAATATTGAACCTATCCAACGACCCCGGTATAGGAAGATTCTTGTAAAACTACAGGACAAGACACATTTAATCTAATGGCATGTTCTATAAAGGCCTCATTGTTTTATGACAAGCTGGATAATGAAATTTGAAGCCGCCGAAGAATCGTGACTTACCAGTTAGGGCCCCAACAACAAAGTTGACCGTTGTCTTTAGGTGAATGATTTTTTCAAGGGAATTTCGAGGGTTATTAACTGACTGAATCCTCATCGGAATAGTTTTGTTTTTAGCCGGTCACGAGATCATTTGGTTCTCTCGGTCTCTGTCTTTGAGTCACGACAGATCTACGGACTATAAAAATGTTTCAGAGAAAACAGATTAAATATTAACTGAATGGAAATTAATTGAATTATTTCAGGTATCAAAGCACTAATACTTACTTACTTCGAAACTGATCCTCGAGATAAAATCTGCCAATTAACACTTATACCTACTTATTAAATTAACGTTTTTCTTAGTATTTATTCCCGAAGTCATTCTACACTTTTTATTTCTTAATTGAAATGCGATCCTCTAACGATGAGGCGTTAGCTGAAAGATAACTTAAACGTCTTCTAATTAACAGAATCGGTATTCATGTTGGGTCTAATCTAACGGTCGTTCCGGTGATAAAAATCGAAAAAGCTAACGACTGAACGAAAATCTTCGCTTTGTCTCTTCATTTTGGCGAGATGATTTCATGCGACACTTCTGGTTTCCTGATTAATGAACTAAAAACGAGGAAGTAAAAAATAAATGACGCTCGCTTAGGTTGATTACTTCGATGCGAAAAAAACAATTAAAGATATGCTCCGTTATCGGGCATGGAAAAAATGTTGCTCCGGATTACCGTTCAATTTGTATTCGAGTGTGAAATAAATGCCCGGCTTCTTGAAACTCCCAGAATTCTCTTTTTGTCGTTTAATTAAGACAAAAGTTGTTTAGTTGACAGAACTTAGACGATTGATTTGTCTTCGGTAATTGATTTTGCTTCTGAAACGGACGAAACTGTTATTGTTTTTCGATTTGTCGAGTTTCTCAGTTCTTATGAGTTAGGATGGGAGAAAAATATCGATGTTTCGCAAACATCGATGTAATTCGTTCGTTGTTCGATATTTTTGCCATCGATGTTGGCAATTTGGGACATCGATAAAACATCGATGTTAGATCCTGAAATGAAAACATCGGACATTTGATGTTGATACTAGATTGAAACATTTTCAGCGAACTCGTTGATAGTGCCGATATAAACGATACCTCGGCATAGCGGCCCATTTCCAGCTGCACCCGAAAAAAGCCTCTTTTTGCAGTTGACCGAAAAATGTGCTAACTATAAGTTGAATAAATGTAGTCGATTATTTAATGTCATACTAATACATATATAAAATAAAATTATTTACGTTTAAGTTAGTCAATTTGAAATTTGTATGCAACGGCAAACAATCAGAACATCGATGTTGTCAAACATCGATATTACCTTTCGATGTCAACTATGTCCCTATTATGAGTCAATCAGATCATCGTTCCTTTCAATGATAACTTCCTGGAACCATACATAAATTGAAAGGTTTTTTTGAGTCCATTGTTATGCAAATTCGAGGATCTTTATAATTGACCGACCAGACTGATTCTCGTTTATTACTAGTTAAAGTGAAACCCAAGAAACCACAGTTACTAGTCGCAGCGGGAGTTTTGACCAGCTAATTTTCTCAAGCGAATCAAACGGGGTGTTTCAATCGTCATTCGTTATATGAGCACACTTTCCTAGAAAAACGACTTAGAACCAGTGACTGTCCCTGCTTCGATATAAATTAAACAATAATCGGTGAGGATCTGAAATTTTCATTGATTAATCAATTTATGTCCGACCTGCAGCCTGAACGCTGACTCGTAAGTACCATAATCAGAAATCAGTACTCAACTGGCAACTACTAATCAAAATAAATTATCAACGTATTTATTAAACGTAATATTTGATATTATGGCTTACAAGATCATGTCTCCGCTAATGCCTCATAATCAGCACCTACCAGTCCTCTTGTGGTGGAATCAGTACCATATATAGGGATGTTGGCTTGGTAGGAGCAACTTGTTTTATCGTTGACGGCTCAACAAGTGAGATTTGACTGGGTATAATGCAACGTCACTCCAACTTTAAATTGCCAGGCTGTTTTAATAATATTCTCCTCTCGACATGGAGAGGAACGACTCGTTTCACCGAATGGAAATGATTGGAAGGCGCTGACGTCGGCGTTCAAACGCACACAGAGTTTGTTATTAAAATCGGACAGACTATGTGCCTTTTAAGCAATTGCTGGTAAAGACAACCTGAAGATGACTGGATGCTTTGCAATTATGAATAGGAAGAGAGCGGGTTGGTTATCGACAAAGCAAATGACTGTGTCTTGAATGGACGTGAATGAATTAAAAGAAAAAATCGAATGTCAATGCGTTGAAATCAAACACTAAAACTAGACTTTCTAGCCAAGATCCAGTTATCTGGTTGCTCTTGAACTAGTATTCTGCCACTGTACTATAGGCAAAATCAGGGTTAGTTTTCAGTTGGTTTTACCTATTAAACCTTGTTTTAATATGGAATAAATGGTTTTAAAAGACTGCAAGGCACACATCATTTAATTACCCGCCACAAAGAGAAGAGAATGCTGCATCCGACTGTTCTACGTTACGGTATTGCAAACTTGATTAAAAAATTGATGGCAAAAGACAAAACAAAACTGAATTTTGGCAATTCTGCTGGCTGGTTGCTGCCGCTTCCAGAGCAAGAGAAGTGGAAATGAACTCCGGTATTTTATGGGCCTGTTCTGGAAAATTGGTTGTTTTTTCAACACTATTGCGTAGCTTTTTAAATTAGGTTCCCCAGTTTTTTGTAAGCCCTAAGAATTATTAAACTAAAGGGTCCAGAGACGTCGATTATAAGTGTTTGCCATTTTCAACTCTTATTTTGAATAAATTCACTTGCAATGAGTGGCAAACAAAACTGTAAAAGCCAACGAAGTGTGAATGGTCGTATAAAAAACCTAAGTGGTTTCAGGTAAATTATTTTTGCAACAGAAAAATCTCGACTGGAATTGTTCGATTTTTATTGGATGCCGAAGCGGGCAACTAAACTTTTCATCTGCCTATATCGGGCCTGTGCCCCTTTACGGGGTCGTAACAGTAACATAAAGATTAAATGGCTCAGAAATTTGCTGCTCCTGGCAGGACTGGCTGGAAACGGGCATAAAAAATAACAAACTGTCAGCAGTAAATTCTTTTCGAGCTGATTTCTGGAAAAGTGACAACACGCTAAACACTTCTCGGTGAAATCCGCTCGGCATGTTTCAAAACCGCATGCTAATGTTTATAAACGCAGATAAACTGCACTAAAAGCATTCTTCACCGCGATATCTCGGAATCTCAACAGTAAAGTAGTTGCATGAACGACTTTTGCAAGCGAGATTTCGTGAGGAAGTTGTTAACCTATATTTAGAAGAGTTCATATGGGAGCCGTTCGGGTTAAGAGCATGACCGAGTACAGAGCCTTTATAGGTTTGCCGGTTTCTTGGGGCATCAGTTTCACAGTTTGCTTAATTGCTTTATGGTTTGCTGGAATGTAATCGGTAGCCTGAATGTCACCGGATTTCGCCCACTCGTTGAGGGACTGCCGTTCCAGCCTTTTCATTGTATGGAAACCCTGCTGTTTTGTTATATAAAAATTCGTTTCGACGAAAATTATCTGAGGGTTGAAAACGATGGGTTGTTGTTAAGCTCGGGTCATTTTATGACAGCAGCTTTGGACACAAGATATAAATGTCTTTAAATGCAATTTGCACGTCAATTTAGGATTAATCACGTCATAAACGGATTGTTAATTCCCGCATTACAATTCCCCGGCAAATAGAGTGTATAATTAAATTTTGCAAAGCTAAATGGCCGTTTGAAGGAACGGCATTTAATTTACATTCATCTGCCGAAGGCGAGTTTTCCATAAACCAATTTCGCCCTTTGCAGCTCATCTCTATAGAGAGCTGAAAATCAAAGAATAACTCCATAATCGCTAACGTTGAGATTTATATTAATAGGGTTTCTTGTGGCCCGAGGGCAAGATAAAGTTGCGAAAAACTTCCGGAAACAACGGTCCTCAGATTATAAATGAAGTTTTTTTGCTTTACAAATGGCGCACAAGCATTAAGCGAAAATCCCTCAGTTTCAATTTGCAGTTTCTTCATGGCTCATGTTATCGTTTGCACTTTGGCTTTATTAAAAGAGCAAATTTCTGCGCGCGTGTCAGATTGGACAACTTTTAGCTTCTGTTTTCTTTCGGGCACTGCAAACTGCACACTTTGTTTGCCCGAAACAGTCCGTACACTTGTTTTTCACAAGTGCACCTTCATTTAATAAAAACGTCTACTATCCTGAAGTAATTTGAGCTTGTTTACCACCTTGACCACGCACATCGTAAACGTCGGACTTACCCCCATTTGAATTACCAAAGTGAATATTACAATTGCCGGAATACGTTTGGTTTGCTCAGCATATGGATTATCTGCACAGATGTCCTTAAATAATTGACCGTCTTGGCTGCGGGCTTTACATGCATGATACAAAGCATATATTTGTTTAGAAACACAATTTCGTATTGTTTGCTTCTGAATTTTTTGTTGCCGATGACGTGAATGGACTTTAATCAGTTTCTCGCAAGATATTCGGTGCTACCCAGAGGTATAATTGAGTCGAAAATCGATCTGAATTCCTCTACAAAGCCATTGTGCTCAATAGATAGTATTAAAGTGTGGCAAATTAATAAGTTCACGGGATTTCTCAACACTTTACACGAATAATTAGCAAACAAACACTAAGAGATTCATTTCACAGTTGATCTCTTCGAACTGAAAACGCAATTGATCTGTGGCCGGGTTGCTACCGTGCCCTTTTGTTGCACGAATAATAGCCAGTTTATGGTAGGAGGAGGCCGAGAACTTGTTATTCTGTCGGTTCGATCATATTTCAATTAAAATTTAACTTCAACGCACTGATCACATTGAGAATTGGTTTTTACCAGTCCCAACCAGAAGGTACTTGACCCTCAAATTAGTAATCATGTTTGCTGTTTGAAATCTTTGTTTGAACCTTTTCTATAATTTTCTATCAATAAAAATTCTTGGAGATTTTAACAGCTTGAATTTAGTCGACACTCCGCAATTTAGTAGAGCCTGATGGGCTTCATATCAAAACCGGTTCTCGGTATTGAACACTGAAAATGTAAAAACTTTCAATTTTCACTAATGACTCCCCCCTCCTAGTTCCTTAAGTAACAGGTGGAATTTAATATTCCGCTACGTCACTTCACTATTGACAGGCCCCTATTAACAGAACCACTTACGGGATTGTATATTATACATAGATATCTGACTATATGTATGGCATTTCAATTGTAGGTAATTTCCTTGTGACACAGCCGTCAGTAATCCTATCTGGATACATTACAAAAGCTTTTAACATTTTAATGGTAATTCATCTGCCGATCTTATCGAGGCCGAAGTCTAGTTGGGCGGATGGCTTTTTGGTACCTTTTGAGGTACCGATGCCCATTAGTGATCGACACTTCTTGGGTTTGGTTTGTTTGAACGAAGCTTCAGGAAAGGCAAGTGTTGAAAAAGCCGCAGAGCCGCCGACATTCATACACATTTAAATAGATGAGATATTTCGTTGACCAATAAGTACCTACAAGACGTTGGCAAATAAACCATCGATTACAGCTAGATTTCAAATATGCAGCCTAGATACACAAAAACAGTCGTGATTGTAACCAAATCGATCGTCATCTTTTTTCTTTGGCCTTTAATAATGTTTCTAGGGCGGGCATTATGATTATTCGAATTCTCCCATTTGAGCAACAATATCAGAAAGGCCGGCCATTGCGTTAGGTAGATGGAAAGGCGCAGTTATAATTACAAATTTTAATTCAAAGCCGGTTGGAATTTACTAACAAATTGGTATTATGCAAATGGAGAATCACGTTGAACAATGATGTTAATGTAGCTTTGTTGTTCCCCGGTTTCTTTTTCGACGTTCTTTGTGCCTGGACGTGTTGAAAGGAGAAGAGTAATCAGTGTGGGGTATAAAGTTGCCTCCAGGGGTTTACGAGGACTACGAATTGTATTAAGATTACGGAACATCCCGGCCATCAGATGCGAAATGACGTTGCTGAAATATCAAATTGTCCTCTTTAATGCATCACCGGAAAGATCACACTGTTTCAATCACAAATCACGCTCATCCAACGTAAAGTTAATTAAGATTATTTTAAGAACAGCACACATTGGGATTTAGTTTGAGCCCAATAATAAGAGATGTAATTAGCGACTGAAACTGTTGCATATCATCAATAACAGTGTGACCAAGTTAATAACTATTTCCAGCAGCATGTACAGGATGTGGCTTGCCCGAATTATTTTCATTTACAATCAATCTTTTCGAGGCTCGCTTTACGAGTTGGTGCATTTTTCAGCTGGACATAGACGTAATACAAGCTTAAAGGCTTAAAACTTAAGTTCGATGGTAGAGGATTCCGGCCAATTTTACACTGTCGGTGCATGGGATTAGAAGCCCTAGTAAAATTCCTGCAGAAATAGTAGAATCACTTCCAGTGCAATTAGGAGTTGTGAAGAACTTTCCGAAACTAAAGAAAATATATGTTAGGCTGACTCCCAAGTGTGTCCTGATCATAAGTGAACTGAAATCGAATTAAGGCGATGACCACTTTAGAAAATCTTAAAATGCTAATACATTTCACCCCTTAATGAAATTCTACTTGGTTTGCTTGTAGGCACGCAATTCAGTACTTAATTATGCACGTCGTGTAAGCAGTTTTCTTATGTGCCCATACTTGCATGTCGATTTTAGAGATATTAGAAATGGCTAATGAACCGGTAATTCAGATAATAATATTCAACTTGAAACTTAATTGAACAATGCTTTTCCCAAAATTAACACATTTTGATCAAAAACCGTTTTTACCATCGAACATTTCACACAAATAAAACCTAATTAATCGAAGGAAATTTTTTCAGGGGCGAAGCCAGAAGGGTGGTCATGGGGGTCATTTCCCTTCTGCTGGGTTTCTGTCGACTAACGATAATTTTTCTTTTTTTTTGTCATAGACAACAAAAAACTGAATTTCTACAATATGACTTGAAAGCTGGATCCGCCTCTGTCTGTGTCGACATTTCATAAACATTCGTTGATCAATCTATTCAAACAGAATTTGCTGATTGAAACTTAAATTGTTGTTGGGCGACTCAAGATCGATTTCTTCACGATGACTTTCCGATTGTGATTTTATGGGTTTTGTTTCTTTTGGCTCCAATTACATACGGATTTGGTTGAACGAGTTCAAAAGAACCTGCTGTTGCATTTGTATTAAATAAAATCATCAAATGTGTTAAAGTTCCTTGATGCAAGTACCCATTTAGCAGGAAAAAGCTCGTTCAAAGCAAATCTGCTGTGGTTGAACACCAGGAATACAATCCGGAATTTCCGGTAAGCGTCTTACGAGCGTCCCAATGTAAATATCCCTTACACGGAAATATCTATCTGAGTGTATAGATAACAAAGAAATAAAGTCGGGGGTATATAGCTAGAGGTATTGTACGGATCTCGAGCTATTATTGATGGCATCTCGCCACACAATAGTGCCTGTACCCATATAAAAACCTTCTCATTTCACGGACATTATTCGTTAAAGAAAAACGTTTTCTTTGGGCTTTTTATGATTTGTTCAGGTCCCGATGATTAGTGGGAATCATTCCATCAAAGTGGAAACGGAGAAAACACCAAAATAATCTAATACTTCTACTATTTCGTTTTTTTCATCACCTGCCCCGTTTAAACGATGGAAATTGGAACCAACAAAGACAGATTCGAAATGCCTAAATGCGGCGTGAAGTGCGTAGAGAACTCATTAAAATGTGCTTTGGCTTGAAGGTATCAGATTCCTATACCTACGTAGAGTCGAAAGTGAGAAAGCTTAAAGGCAACAAGGTGTGAACATTTAATTAGTAACATTTTCCCGGGTATTGTATATTTAATAATCTCGTTAATTGACCATAAATGATGTTTATTTCTGAACAAACGTTGATCTTTTGCAGATTTTGTTGGGCTATTAGCAGGCCGCAAAAATGTCACTAACCGTATTTTAGGTACTCGGCAATAAACTGAAATACGACCGTAAAACAACTGTTAAGCAGCAACAGCAACCGGCTGATCGTTATATAGTTACTAGCGGAGCAGGGTTGCCAGGTCCGAAAATTGAGTTTTGGTAGATAAGCTCGACACTTCGGTAGACTCATTTTTCTTTCATTATTAAGGGCTCCATCGAATTGTACGAACTAAACACTTCTACTTATTTTAAATAAAAATATCGCCTCAATTATCGTCTTCCAAATAATCCTTATATAAAATAGATAACACAATCTTATCTTCAATTTCAAAACTATGACAATTGTCGCTACCAATATTGAATTGGTGTAAAGTAAAGATGAAATTGTATTCGTTTTTAGCTTATTTCTCAACTTAGTTTTCATTAGATTAACCTGTGAAAATATCCGTTCAACATTGGCTGATGAGTGAGGTAGAATAAGCTGGTTACAAATAAAATTGGAAACACGAATGTATCAGCTTCATATTTCAATATTTGTACTTGGCTCCAAAAATATTCAATATTTCCAGAAATTCTTTTAATTTCTTTAGCATTTCGCAACCGACGTCATTCTGTGTCCAGACCTTGATTACGAAGCAACAGGTATTTGCGCAATGTTAATTAGGCAGATTACCTTGAAAAACATTGCTGCCGTATTTCTGATATAGTTTTTTACAAATTTCTCAGTTTTTAATAAC